AAAAGATTGTCTTTTTGGAAAATTAAGATTTTTTCCATTAGTGGGCGATCGACTCTTATTAGATCAGTCTTAGGGAGTCTCAGGATTTACTTTTTCTCCTTATTTAGGATGCCTTATTCAGTTTGTCATGTTTTGGAAGCTTGTAGGTCCCGAGTTTTGTGGGGGATAGAGGAAGATCAGAGGCAAATTCATTGGTTAAGTGGGATGTTGCTCTTAATTCTAGAAAGCATGGTAGTCTCGATATTGGGAGCTTGGAGGCTTTCAATTTGGATTTGTTGTATAAATGAAGGTGTCGTTTCTTTACCGAATCTGATGTTTTATGGGTTAGATGTATTAAATGGTTGTATGGTGATTCAACAGGCTTGATGGAGGGTTCTCGGATTCCTTCAGAAGGGAGGGGGAGGGGTCGAAAATTATCGGATCTATAAATGCTCTTCATGATAGATAGTGTATTCCTAGATCTTCTACATCTAGGGTTCTTGGGACTAGTGCTGACACGTGCTTTAGGAAAGATATTTGGTGTAATGGTTCTTTACTCAAACAACAATTTCATAGGTTGTTTGCTTTATCTAATTCTCAAAAAGCTATGGTTAGTGATTTTTGGTCTTTCAGCGGGTGGGTCTTCTCTTGGCGTCGTCAGATTAGGGGTGGTGCAGAGTCTGATCAACTTAATAATCCCATGTCTTTATTAAGTTCAGTTTCTTTGGGTTCTAAGTAGGATAAGTGGGTTTGGTCTTTTGATCCTTTAGGTTATTTTTTCTAGCAGGTCTGTTATAAGGCTTATTGATGTTGTTCGCTTGCCTCAAGGGGGAATGTCGACTGTTGGTGATTCGTTTCACTAATGTGATTTAAGTGTAATGGGATTACTTTGTTGACCAAAAGTGATCTTGATAAATATTAAACAAGTAAGGAAGGTGTGGAGTGCACACTTGTTTAAGTTTATTGAAGATTAAAAGTAGACTGTCATTTAGGGGCGAAGCCCCTGAACGAACAAGGGTCCGGGAGCAGCGCCCCTGGGAGCGGGGTCCAAGGGGCAGAGCCCCTGGCTGGGATCCACCCGTTTTTTGGCTTGGTATTAATCCTTATAGAAAACCAAATTTATGACAGTTTTTTGACTGTTGCCAAACTGTTTTATGATAGTTTTGACAGGTTTCAGACAAAGGAGGTATTTAACCAATTTTGGTCAGTTTTTCTGGTACTTACTAAATTCATATATCTCATTCTCTGTTCTTTTTTCTTCTGAGTTTTATCCAATCAAAGATTAAGGAGTACCACCCAATGCTTTGATTTGATAGTGAAATCACAATTCTTAGAATATCCAAGTGCCTTTATTACCCTGAATTTCTAACAAAAATCAAAGTATTTTGTGATCATGGCAAGTGGCGATTCTGTGAAGGAAATGACAAGTAAGTGTGAAAAACTGAACAAGTTTGAAGGGCAATATTTGCATAGATGGCAGAAGAAGATGAAGTTTCTCCTTACCACTCTGAAAGTGGTGTATGTTCTGAGTACACCCATGCCAGTCTTACCAGAATCTGTTGAAGATGAACCTTTGGAGGCAACAAGAAGAAGATCAAAGTGGGAAAATGATGATTACATATGTCGTGGTCATATTCTCAATGGTATGTCTGACTCTCTTTTTGATATCTATCAAAATTTCGAATCTGCAAAAGAACTGGGGGATTCTCTTGAATCCAAGTACATGGCTGAAGATGCTTCTAGTAAAAAGCTTCTTGTTAGTAACTTTATGGGTTACAAGATGATTGACTCCAGAACTATTATGGACCAATTCCATAAAATGTTAAGGATTCTGGGACAGTTTGCTCAACACAATTTGAAAATGGATGAAGCCATTTCTGTGGCTGTGATCATTGACAAACCGCCCCCTTCCTGGAAGGATTTTAAACACAATCTGAAACATAACAAGAGGAATTGACTTTGACTCAACTTGGAAGCCATTTAAGGATTGAAGAGTCCATAAGGACTCAAGAACTT